GCCCTTTCACACCAAAAGTGAAATGAATAAGCCACAGGCTGAAGTAATTTGCGTTACATATTTGAAAAAGTAACTCTTCTTGTAAATTTAAAAATAATGCGTTACTTTACTTGAAAAAAGTAATCTGATTACATAACTCGCGTTACTTGTAATGCATTTCCCCCCAACACTGATGCATGCTTATCAGAAAGAAACTCACATAAGAAAGATACATCTAAAAAGAATTACTATGAAAATACAATACAGTAACCAGATGTTATCAACCAAGAACAGTAGTGCCACCATTTAGAAGAACATAAGTGTTTTAACAACAAAAGTCTATATTTGTGGTTTAAACCTCTCCATAATGCCATACCCCATACACTACAAATGTAAGTTTATCAATGTAAACAGTGTTTGGACAAATAATGCCATCAATGTAAGTTTCTGAATGGAGACCTTTCCTTTAATCTGTATGTAAAGAGATCACAGAGGTCATATATGGTATCTATTCAACATTCAGGCCTGGATTTGACGTGTGTGTGCGTTTACGGGTCAGAGGTCAGAGAGTATCCTCCTCCTGACCTCATTACCGTATCTCTCCACAAGCCTCTCTGCCAGAAAGAGGTCAAAGCCAATGCCATCTATTACCCACAGTCCATCAGTCACTTTCTCTATTCAGGGGTTGTCAAGCACACACCATTAAGTGTGTCTAGTCAACAGTGTGTACAACACCGCAAGGACAACTCTCTTTCTCAGACTGATTAGTCCTCCTTTTCTGGTTCACTTCAAAGCGTCTCTCAATCCTAGTTTGACTCATCTCTTAAGGAACGAGATACTGTAGGGGAAATGTATTGCATGAGGCAGTGTTTTGTGTATGTGCGTGCACTTTCAGACATAATCTCCACCTCTAACATACTTAAAGGATTACTTCACACAAAAATGACATTTACTCACACCACACTCATGTCATTGCAAATCCAAGACTTACTTTCTTCAATGTTAAAAAAAAAAAAAATTTTCCCCCCCAAAGAAATAAAGGACAGGGACCAAAAACAGCATAACAGTAGTCCATACGATAAATAAAAAGGTAAAATGCTTGGCCGTTCTTTAAAATTCCTCCTTTTGTGTTCAACAGAAGAAAGTGAGTCATACTGGTTTAGAACAAGAGTTTCATTCTTTGGTGAATTATTCCTTTAAGTCAAAGATAAAAATTCAAGCTGCTTATTATTAGGCTTTGCCTGGATACAGATTAAATTCCTCCCAGGTTAACCATGAATCCTTGCACGGCCCGATCATGCGAGAGAAGTGGTAATGAGAGATGGTTCATGGAGGAGAATGTCTTAGAATTACAATAAACTTGATAACTCTCCAATTCATTCCAAACATAGTGATTTCCAAGTCTATGTAAGAAAAAGCCAGATTAACTCACCACCAGGGAGTCTTAAAACCAGCAGCTGACAGTTTCATGTGCTTTTAAACAAACTCCTCGTCTATTACTGCTGGAGCAGAGATATGGAGGAGGAGGAACCAAACCAGATGTTCCTCAACAGCTACAAAGGGTAAAGTTCAAAACGGTTTCCATGTGTGTGTCTACCTGTGTTTCCCATGCTCCTCTTCTTCCCTTATCTGGCACAAACGGGTGTGTACAGCTCTCACGAATGACATTGGATCAATGGAATCATCTCCAGTGTGTGGAATTGAGAAATAAGGAGCCATTCAACAAAAAGTCAACTTGTACATGCAAACTATTCTGCCGTGATGCTAGGGCATTGCTAGGTGGCTGCTAAGGTTTTCTGCGAAGTTTATTGGCCTCTCAAGTATGATATTTAGGTTAGGGATGCACCAATATTAAAGGACAGAAATGAAAAAGAAGGGGAAGTAGCGACAGATCTTTCCTTTGGCTATCCATATTAAGACTATCGCAAAACTTGTTAATTGGATTTTGAGATGTGGAAATGCACTCTCACAGTTTATTGTGGATGGTCAAGGTTTAAGGTAAAGGATTGAAAGCCTAGCATACATCATCAAAGAGAAGAATGTTGTTTCAAAAGAAGATTGAGCTTCCATTTTTATTAAAAATTACAAGGTCAAAAAATAAATAAAATAAAAAAATTTAAATTAAAAATAATAATAATTTAAAAAAATAGTATACATGGATAAATTGTCCACAATAAGATTAGTATCATTCATTTACAAAATATATTAAAACTGTTAAAAATTTGACACTATTTTCTGTAATTAAATTAAAAATAGCACACTAAAAACTAGAAAGTCAGTCACTTTAAATCCCACAAATTAGCATAAATCAGCATAAAAAAAATTGATATTCATTTTGAGATTTGATAAATATTGCATTTAAATTATTGTGGTTTTAAAGGTTAACTTTAAGCTGGAAAGTTATTTGGCATCAATTAATTATACACCTATCGGTTTTATTAAAAAAGCTCTAACATTGTCCAATGGCCAATATATTGCATATCCCTAATTTTGGTCTCCAAAATTCCTTCAGTGAAAATCTATGAAATTTTTCATCTGTTTTATAATCTGCCAGGCAAAATTCATCGGATCACTTGAAAGTAATACCACAAATCTCCTCAACAAGCCACGGCGAGGAACGAATTACGAGTCGGAGTTTATTACTTAGCGTTAAGGGTTTCTTCAAATCTCTAACCTTAAGTATGAGCAAGAGTAATACAGAAGTTTGTCTCAAGCACCACTAATAAATAATAGCATCAATCCACCAGCCATCCAATAAATTATTAATATTCCCAGTTAGCCTAAGAGAGTTTTGTGACATCTTTCCACTGAGAACAGCATGCATGGGAACAGTAGTAACTGCAGACTCGTTAGGGAAACTCTGTGACATCAAGATAATAAGATCTCATAGCAAGACAGAGAGCAGAACTACATCAAAGCGCAGGAATGTTTCCCTGAGGTGCCTAAAATGAAAGGAAGACAGACCCTGTCAAGCTCAGGAAGGGCCGGAGGTCTGCATGTGGGCCGAAGTGTATTACACTTCTGTCTTCAGAGGGCAGCAGGTGTCAGCGTTTATTAATGCCCCTGTCAGAGAGGATTGTGGGGAGAATGGACAGCATTACACAAGCACTGCCACAGGTACCGGAAATAAAAGAGGCGGCTACGGTAGGGCTGCATGATAAATCGAAATGGAATGCACATGACAATCGCATTCGATTAATCGTGCAGCCCTAGGCTACGGTGTCAAATTTGAATAACGTGCAATCAGTCTCCAGCAGCTGTTTACCTGTGTAGGCGTACAACACCTGTTTACATTGCCGTGGGATCAGTTTAGTTGTTAAGACTGGGATTGCAGATGGGGGAGGCCGACTGAAACAATGCAAAAAGCAGCTGCAAGACTTTCCACATGGAAATGAGGACACCAGCAACTCACTGCAGAATGATGATTGCAGATTTTGAAGCCAATATAACATTTCAATGACAAACAACTTCTACGAACACTTAAGCTAGGATGGAGTATCCGATGAACCAAAGCGAGCTGGAATAAAGATTAAGCGACAATTACAGTATAATAGCTTCTTGGAGAGACGAACGTCTCTCTCTTTGACAGGAACATGGGTAGATCTAACTAATGACTCCTGCCAACTCTATCCAGAGTGTAAACAGATCAATTTAATGCCGAGGGGCATGACGTGGGGTCTACAGAGTCCTCGCTATGCACTTTTACATACTGAACTATTGTTCAAAAGCATGTAAACATAGTGTCAGGACAGTCAGATATTTATGGAAACTTCATTTAACTTTATGTTCTTCACCTGTTATGAGTTCAAGGCTGCAAAGGTCTGTACGCTTTGGAGGTTTTTTAATAGTATACTCATTATCTATGAAACTGTAGTAGTGGCAGATCTTTTCTTCAGTATTATGATGTACATTTGAGTGAAACAGACTATCAAAAAATGTAGAACAGGACTTGTTTTAATCTATTGATTGTTGATTGGATGGAGGCAGATCTGAATGCCAGCCTGCAGTCGATTGTAAGAAAGTTTAAGTGGAATAAATTAATGGAGAAATCCAACATACGTCAGAGACATGTCTGTCGTTTCACTGGAAGATTGAGTTTTGACATTTTGATTAAAAAGTATGAGGTCAAAAAAAAAAAAGTAAGCATTCATTAGACCTATAACATGCGTATAGAAAATAAATTGGGTGAATTTATCATTTCATGCCGACTTAAGTAGTGGTGCATATATTTTGATGTCACAAACATGACATGTTGACTCTATCACTCAAATTGTAAACAAATAGTTTTAGATAATTTAACTAGCAACACACCAGAAAAACAACATGGCAAATTTTAATTCATTTTTTATGTAGAAAATATGGTTTTATTGGCAATACTGTGGGCTGACTTTCTGATTTTCTTGTCTAATGGTGGTGACAAGTCAACAGATGGAGTTGAAAATAATTTTAAATACCATTTTTTAATAATAATAATAATGAACAATTTAACAATATTTTAAAATGTGTACATTTTCTATTTGAATACAATATGTAATAGTATGCTATAATATTTATTACTTCACTGTTGACATTACATGTCAAAATCTGACTGTGTTAACAGTTTTGTGAGAAACAGAAAACCTGATTAAACAAAAACAATTCCTTGGCATATGAAGTTGTTTTTAGCCCTGTATTCTGCTCTGTCCCAGTGAAAAATCAGTGTAACAGTATGAGAAAAGTTCATCTGTGTTGACTTAAGCAGTGCAAAAGCAAAAGCATTAAACTGCCCATAAAAGTCTTTTACAACTCTGGGTTATTTTATGGAGGGGCCAACTACTTAAACACATGTTCAACCTTAACTCAGATCAAGACAAAAGAGTTCAAGCACACACAATGTTTAAACAATGTACTCACTATGTATCCAGCAACATAAACAAAAGGCAACAAACCAAAAGGCAACGTATTAGGCTATAAACCAAACAGCTCCACATACACGTTGAGCAGCCGGTGTGAAATGCCCATTTATCAGAAAACAAACTCACCAGCTGAAACGTGCACAGAAATATAAGGGTGCACCGTCCGCTGCAGCAGCCCATTGTGTTAAACGAGACAATGAGATCCTGAATATATGAGACTATCAGCAGAAAGTCCTAAACAAGCACAGAGAAGCGCGTCAGTCTCTGTCCGACACAAAGCGGTTCCTTTCCCATTGTTTCCAGCGGCGCTCAGTGAAACGCGTGTAAGTGTGGAGCCGATCACTACCGTAGCGCGAGGAGTGTGTGAGACTCGGGTGTGAGTGAAGTGAAGTGCGAAGAAAGAGGGAGAAGAAGAACAACAAGGGGGTAGATGGGGTAAGGGGCGGGGGTAGTAGGCAGAGGGGGTGTATGTACATCACAATGGCTTGGTTTCACATACACGGACACAGGCTGTGTGAATAAACCACGGTGTGTGTGTGTGTTGATTCGAACCCCAAAAAAAGCAGAAAAAATACCCAAGCACCACAGCATTCATGAAAATAACATCTTAAACCAAGCAAGGGCTGGTTGTCTCGTTTATTCTGGTCTCACAGACTGGCCAGTCAGCTGGTTTAGTTTTCTGGCCAACTGATATCATTGCCTGACCAACTGGAAAGTGCCCAAACCCCTCTAAAACCAGCAAGCTGGGAGACCACCTTAGACTAGCAAACAAGCACAGAAACCGTATCTAAAGACAACATCCCTGCTGAGGGGGAAAAACATAAACCAGCGTACAATGGTGTGCTGGTTTTATCTGGTTTAAGATTGTCTCCTATGCTAAGAAGCTGAAAGTGCCCAAAAACACTCTCAGCCCTGGAGACCACATAAGACCAGCAAACAAGCATAGAAGTCATATCTAGAAACCACATTCCTGCTGAGGGGGAAAAACATAAACCAGCCTAAAATGGAGTGCTGGTTTTATCTGGTTTAAGATGGTCTCCTATGCTAAGAAGCTGAAAGTGCCCAAAACCCCTCTCAGCCCTGGAGACCACATGAGACCAGCAAACAAGCATAGAAGTCATATCCAGAAACCACATCCCTGCTGAGGGGGAAAAAACATAAACCAGCCTAAAATGGTGTGCTGGTTTTAACAGTTTAAGATGGTCTCCTATGCTAAGAAGCTGAAAGTGCCTAACCCCCTCTAAAACCAGCAAGCTGGGAGACCACCTTAGACTAGCAAACAAGCACAGAAACCATATCTAAAGACAACATCCCTGCTGAGGGGGAAAACATAAACCAGCGTACAATGGTGTGCTGGTTTTATCTGGTTTAATATTGTCTCCTATGCTAAGAAGCTGAAAGTGCCCAAAACCCCTCTCAGCCCTGGAGACCACATGAGACCAGCAAACAAGCATTGAAGTCATATCTAGAAACCACATCCCTGCTGAGGGGGAAAAAACATAAACCAGCCTAAAATAGTGTGCTGGTTTTATCTGGTTTAAGATGGTCTCCTATGCTAAGAAGCGGAAAGTGCCCAAAACCCCTCTAAAACCAGCCTTCATGATCAGCCCCGGAGACCACATAAGACCAGCAAACAAGCATAGAAGAGAACACATCTATATCTAGAGAACACATTCCTGCTATTAAAAACAAACACAAATGTAAACCAGCCTAAGATAGTGTGCTGGTCTTAAATGGTTTATGATGGTCTCCCAGGTTAAGAAGCTGAACGTGCCTAAACCCCTCTCAATCTAGCCTACATAACCAGACTGGGAGACCACTTAAGACTAGGAAACAAGCTTAGAAACCATATCTAGAGCCCACATCCCTGCTATAAAAACAAACAAAAATGTAAACCAGCCTAAGACGGTATGCTGGTCTTAGATGGTTTAAGATGGTTTCCCAGGCTATCCAGCTAAAAAATGATGAGTAAAACCACCTGGTCCCCCTTGAGACCACCAAAGACTAGTAAACTAGTTTAGATAGTGTACATTTTTTAACCAAGTCAACACATAATGGTTGTCAGTTTTACAATCTAACCAATAAACCAGCATTAGGCTTTAGCAACATTTTTAGATTCTTATTATGAGTGAAGATATATTTGATGTGATCTTTATCATTATTTATTTGTTTATTAATTTATTTGACAGTGATGGTGAACGCCAAGTTCCCACAGTTTGCAGGAACAATGACTGCAGTAACTACAGGATTTACACTAATATATACCTTTGATTATTTTTTTGTATCGTGTGTGGAGTGATAAATGGCATTGGCTGAGATATTTTATTATCACGAATGTTGGACAGCAAATGCAGTCTGTATCTACAGTTATTATGCTTTAAAGTGTGCACTGGGATTTTTTAGTTTAAAGGAACTGATGTTCGCCTCATTGAAGTCTATTATCAAATCCAAGGCGCCATCTGCTGGTCGCGTATCACAATTACATCCTACTTAGTTTTTTAAGATGTAAGCGGGTGTAAATTGGTGTTATTTGTCACTTTTGTCAATTTGTCACAAACACAGTTATCAACTTTCACCACAGTACCTTGTTAGCATAATGTTTTCCTCACTATTTTTACTCTATTTTACTGGGGTTTTTTTGTTGACATTTTAATGTTTTTTCTGCAGTTATACACATACAATGGAAGACTATGGAGCAATGTACACAATAACAAGCTTAACTTTTTTATCAATACATAACTATTGTAACTGTTCAGTCTGTTCAGAGAGACACTGCATTGACTGTACTGTGCTGATCCATTATAGAAAAGCCGTTAAAAGCGGTTCCTCCCCCGTGCTGCTTTGCTCTTTCCTCTCTGAACATGAAGAAGAGTGATGAATCTTTTACAGGTTGAGCCTGTACTGCCATGGAACACTTCACTTCTCATTACATCACTGTAGCCTCTGCTTCCTCTCTTAAAAGCCTCCAGCTTCTCTGTCACACACACACACACACACACACACACACACACACACACACACACACACACATGCTCAAACACAAACTTCTATAAATAGTTTTTGGTGATATTTTTAGATGAGAGAACTGCAAATACTGTTTTTTTAAGAACATTATTCTTTTGTAAATATTTAATTTGTATGAAGATTTTGTAGTAATTCTGGTTTGCAAAATTTTATGAGACAATTGTGCACTTTGTTTGTTATCATCTTTAATTATTTCAGTTTTAATAGTTTATTTTGTTTTTGTTTTTATTTAAAACATTATTCTCTTTGTAAATGTTACATTTTAATGTTAAAGATTATTTAAGAATATTAACAATGACTTGCAAAATTTAATAAGACATCTGAACACTATTATTTGTTTGTTTTGGTTTGTTTTAGTATGTTTTCATTTAAGAATATTTTTTGGTAAATACATTATTTAATAAAATTAAAAATGTTTTGCAAAATTTGATGAGATATTGGTACACTTTATTTGTTTATTTTAATTGCCTGTTTCTTTGTTTGTTATGATGTTATATTTATTTCATTAATTGATTTTTGTTTGGTTTTACTTTGTTACAAATTCCTTTGTAAATATTTAATTTTAATGTACAAAGATTATTTTTTAATATTAACAATGGCTTGCAAAATTTGGGGAGACATTTGTGCGTTATTCATTAATGCATTAGTTTGTTTCTTATCATTTTTATTATTGCTTATTTCTAAGTTTATTTGTTCATTTTTGTTTTGTTTTAATTTGTTTTCTTTGAAGAACATTACTCTTTTTAATATTCATTTGGTAACACTTTACTTAAAGCTTTAATGCATAATGCATTACAAATGTTTTCATAATGTACAATGTAATGCATTATATATTTTCATAAATAATTGTAACCAAAATTAAAATGCATTATAATATTAGTAGTTTTTTTACATGTGCTTTAATGCATTATACTTTTTTAAAGGTGTAACAACGAATATTAAAGTATTATAATGTATTATAACTGTAGTTACAATTATTCATGAGATCATACAATGCATTATAAGGTGCATTACAAGGCATAATTAATGCATTAAAACATTATAATGCATTATATATATAAAGGCTTTAGGTAAAGTGTTACCATTAATTTTAATGTACAAAGATTTAATAAACAAATATTAACAATGACTTGCAAATTTGATAAGGCATTCATTCATTCATTTTTATTTATTTACATTTTATTCATTCATTTATGTTTTTTCATTCTTTCGTGAAGTGATTTGTTAGCTTTACTTTCAAACACCTCAGTGTTGTCTCTGCACAGCCTCTTGCTTGCTTGCTCTGCTGGTCCCCACATTGTGGGCAAAACATGACCCACGCAAACACCAGCAATGGAAAGAAGGTCACACTGGGCTATATCAGTAAGAGTAGGCTGATGGGATCCTAGGGGTCCACTGCTCATCACCTCCCTCCAGTTAAAGTGTGTTGATGTGTGCTCTTCTAAAAGGGGGCTTGGGCCTTTCTATTGTACACTTTTCAAACCGCAAGATCTAATGCAGACTGGCAAGCCAGTTAGCAGATGAGACCTGTGCTATGAGCCAGACGTAAATAAGGACCACAATCAGACTTGAACAAAGACGGAGGAGTATAAAACCTGCCCAAGCCCACACACACAAGCACAAGAGCACTCAGAGAAAGTGAGTTCCTCATTGATTGTTTTGGTGAAGACCCACAGTCATAAAAGAGCTGTGATACAGTAAGTATATTTAGGCCAACTTTAAACACAGCCATGTCTATTTTAGTGGATGTTGCCCAAATACTGTATGAATCACCACTGTATGTGCTTTTTAAAAAAATTATGATAAATTAATTGAAGAGAATCCAAAGGAAATAAAATAAGCTCATAAAGAAGTAAAAATGTATAAATAAATAATACATATTTTAGAGCTATTTAGGTAACACTTGACATTAGAGTTACCATGTTATTTATGCTAAATTCAATACATCACAATAGCAATAACAATTTGTAGTTATAAGCTGCTTCAGAAAATAAACATTGTTCATCAGTCTTACCCACTTACTTGTACTGATTAATGCTGTAATTACATTGGAGCATGACCACTTATGTAAAGTGTGGCATGCAGCTATTATTTGATTAAAACTATTGATTTCTACAGTGCACATTACAAGAAAGGGTTATATAGTCCAGTGGAGGCAGTACAATATAATACAACTTTATTAATCCCAGAGGTGCAATTTAGTTTCAGGCATAACACAAGCAGACACTGAGACATGCAAGTGAAGAGCTAAAAGCCATATGGTAAGAGTAAGAGAAATAATTGATAATAAATAAAATAATGTCCTATGAAATATACAGTGTTAATGAGATATAGCATATTTAATACAATGTGAAATATGCAATAATGTAAAGAGGAATAAGAACCAGAACCAGAATAAGGTATTAAATATATATGTGCAGTGTTCAAAGGTTCTGGTCCTCAAATCCTGGCTGAGCAGTCAGCCT